GGGGTTACTGAAATATCATGTTTCAATAGCGTGCAGAAAGGAAAGAAAAGGACAAGTCATTATTAGTTTTAAAAATTTCTATCTCTAATACCATATGTTTGTAATTTGCATTCAAAGTTCAACCGCTAAACCCAATCTACATTATTAAACCTAATTGTTCACCCAAATTGAACCTACGCAATAATGGCTTCCCCCCCTCCCAAACCGAAAAAATGAGCTGCAACTATATACAACCAAGAGAGCACCACAGGCACGTACTGCGATTAAATTATGAGACAGAAGATTACGACGAAACAGTGCATGTCACACCCAGGAAGACTTTTTCGTCTACGGTGTTGACAGAGAGAGACAGACATAGAGAGTAAGAGAATTATAAATGGAATCGAAAATGGATAGTAAGAAACTCGAAAGCCAATCTTAAATTCATCAAGGACAGATATCACGATCCTGCAATGATGGAAAACCGAACTCGGAAACTCCTAGTAACTTGTAGGTTTTATTCTGACGTTGGGGGTTATTGAATGTTCATGATATTCGTACGACCAAACCAACCAGACCCGTGATTACAGCTCGAGTCGCTGCGGTTTCTTTCTGAATTCTCGTGGACCTAGTCAATCATAGAGGTCTAAGACAAGACGAAAGAACATATATAGGATGAACAAACCAGACTCATGATTCTCCAGCTTTCGTAGCTATGGTTTCTTCACGAATTCTCATTGACACAGTTAAACTTGATTAACCTTGAGACACGACCAGAAAGAATATTTCAAGTAAATGCCACACCATTAATTCAAATTATAAATGAGCAAAACCTCGCACAAAAGTAGCGTCCTCTTGCATTCTAAATGACTAACGTCTTAAAACAAGGAATCTTGAAAATGGCAGAATAATTTCCAATCTTTTAAAGAATTGGTTACTAAGCTAAAACAATATATCACGAAATGCACAAAAACAGTTTGACAAACACTATTACCTTCTGGAAAGCAAAACAACTGCGGTCTTTAATAAGGGAACCCTTCTTTCAAACCCTCAAATCCTTTACATCTGAAAGTAGACACTTAGGTTTTAATTGAAAAGGAAAGAATTTCTTCTCCCACTATAACCCTCCCTTCATCCAAAAAAGGGAAAATAAATTCTCTGAAGGACTTTTTAAATTTTCTTCACTCCAAATGTAAAAGTTTAACATCCAATCCAAATCTACATTACTAAGCCTGAGTTGTTAACATCTTAAACCAAACTGAAGCTATGCATTGATTGCTACTACTTCCCAACCTAAAAAACAAAATTGGCTATTGACAGCCAAGTCAATATCTAAAGTGGTCAACGACTAACATCTCAGCCATGAAATAATTACCAACCAACTCCACAACACCAAGTAACCTCCTCTAGATTTCATCTGATGTGGTTTTAGGAACTGCATGTTAAACACCAAATAAACTCATGGTGTTATATATTCTGACAAGTTGGCTTTTGGAGCTTCAGTAATTGTTTCTTTCACTGAATTCTCATTGACCCAGTCAAGCAGACAGATCTAAAACACAATGAATGATTTTATGTAGATGCCTTCAGAAAGCTGGCCATGCGTTATTCAATAAGTAGCTCATGCAATTTGCTTGCATCCCAAATAACAAATTTCTTCATATAAAACTAGAATGACTAAAACCCCCGAATGTCAAAGTCCATCCAGGCCAGCAAGATTAAATGTGATTAGCCTAAATGCCTAAATTTAACCACAAATATCAAGTTTCAAGAACTCATCAGAGTAAACTTCTGCCAAACCTACGTTCATTAGAGTAAACTTGGCTTCTGTTTGATTTGTTGGTTTTGCTCCTCCCTAGATTAATGCATTGATAAGCACCTACGGAATGAGATTCTGTGACATTTCCAAGCAGCATATGGTACTTCCAAAGTATTGCATTTACAATGTGCCTCCAGCATTTATCGACATATGAAGTCAAACTTAGATCACTAATATCAAATGGTAGATTGATGCCTTTCTTTTGGGGCCGTTGAAAACACAAATACACCATTTAACCACAAATCTCAAGTTTCAAGAACTCATCTGTGATTCAAATTCCCTTTAAAATCAACTATAACAAATCTGTAATAGGAACTAATACATATAGGTCTGGACTAACTTATTCTAGATGAAAATGGATACCTAGTATTTTTAGATTTATATATAAGATCTAACTTTATAGACTAAAGGTCACATAAAAGTCTTAATAACTAGCCAGAATCAAGATGATACCCAATCATACGTTCAAGCAAAATAAAAGTTATCACTACATCTTAAAACAGTAAAATTGAATTAACCACTAGACTCTTGGACTAAGGATCTTATAAGGTAATTTCCTTAGATCCAAAGGACCTGTATAATGTTCAAGAATCCATGAATCTTGTCTTCCGATGAGGACAATGTTTACCCAAACCAAGTTGTAGATAAGCCCCCAATACCACATTTTTTCAACTAATGTATTAGCTCTTGTGAATGCTAGTTCTTGCAGTCCAACGCAGAGGTTAAAGTAGACAGGATTAATACTGACACAGATGTCAAACTGACCTACATCTGTCTATGTCAATCTCAAGACACTAACACACACAGAATCTCCTTCACACTTTAGACATTTTAGCAAGTGATTAAACAAACATGGGATATCATGCACAGAAGTAAAAAGTTTAAAGTTGATTACCAATACATAGACGGAGCACCTGAATTGTCTTAAATGAATACAAGTTAATGACTTGCACAAATGAAATAGACCATTCACTCCATATCTCCTGCCTACACACTATCCCATATGATAGAAGCTACCCTTAGTGCAACTAAAAAGTTCTAACCCATTACCACAATCATAGTGCCAATCATGCCCGGTGAGAGTACATAATTTAACCAACATTTTCCACCTTCCTTTTTTACCAAAATTTGTAATATCTCTGATAGCATCTTAATAAAAAGGAATTCCTCTTTTAGCATTGTGTGAGATCATCATAAGACAGAAGCCAAACTCCTATGATCTATTTAGAAAATACTTGAAAACCCAGGAAACAGCAGGTCTTATTTCATATTTAGGTTCTCTGATACTTCAGGCCCTGTCCTTGGACTCCTCCAGTCCAAAAGGCAATACATTACAGATATTTACACGTAATATTATATTTTGTCAAGTCTATTATTACTATTACTATTACTATTTAAACGTTTGTGCAACTTATTTAAGTTCAACTGGGTCTGACGTTTGGTATTAGATATCCCTTATGATAGTTATTGCTTATTCTTGTTCATGGTAGAGGACCAGAAAAAGAATCTTGAATTCACAACATATTAAGGATAATTTCTCAAAAGAAATGCTGATGGACGCATGGGAAAGCACCTTGTTTAGTTACAGGACCTGCAAGTATGAGGATTTGGAAAACTTTGGAAAAGCTTCAAGATCAATTGATTCTATCCTCTAAAAATCAGAAGTTCCTGTAGATCATCCATTCTTACTCAGCTCACCACCATATTTAGGACTGCAGGAGTTCCAATCAGTGCTTAACATATCAAAGAGGTTGCCAAGACACCTGTATCTATTTCAGCAAAGTTTTCACGGTACATAACTTGTGACTTGAACAGCAAAATATGATTCTATCCTCGAAAATTCAAAAGCTTCAGTTGCTTAACCATCTTACTTCAGTTTTGCTATCAAGTTTAAGACCTGCAGGAAGTCCATTCAGTGCTCTACAGTCTGAGTTCTAAGAAACAAATGTATCAGTTTCAGCAAAGTTTTTACAGTGTATATGTGGTAAGTTGCACAGCAACACAAAAGCCTTAGCCACTGGGATTTTAGTTTTGCCTTATTAGACAATTATAAGCTCTAGCTTCCTATTTCTGTTTCAGTTAGTATCAGTATCAAAATAGACAACTATTTAATTATTGAACCACCCAGATAAGCACTCACACAACCAGGCCAACCTACTATCATCGCACCAAACAGGACAGACCCCTTCACAAAATAACTTATGAACAATAATACCTCCAACATCTCAAATGAAACAAGAAAAGTTCAAAGCTATCAAGCCACCAAGTAAAGCCAAAACCCAGCATTCGCCAATAAGACTTCAGGACATTCAACCTGTCCCTATATCCCTAACTCCCTAGCACTACCATTGCAGCAATCAACTTTACATAATCTGGCCCCAGAAAGTGCTATTATAACTCAAACTAATTGAACAACATGCAATAAATAGCTGAATGTAGAACTCCCCTTGACACCAATAAACTCAATGAAAAACTTCCTTTCTATAATTTAGCAAAGATAACTTGGATTTTAGCAAGCTCAGAAAATTCTCTAATGACTTTACAATATGCATAAAGGAATCTGCTTTCAAGTTTATAAACTCTTACATTATAACCCTTAAATTTCTATGTTTTTCATTTTCCACATTTTATCCCAAAAAAAACCCTAAACCACATAACAAAAAAAATTAAATTACATAAACAAAAAAAAAAATCTAATTTTGATTACATTAATCAAATACTTATACTTTTCCGTGTCCAACAGTCAATAATCCAAAGCCTAAAATAAAAAGTAAAAAGAAAAAAAATCAAAACACAAATTCTTTCCTCAATTAATCAAGAAATCCAGTTTGTCTCCAAACAGCATTCCTTACCTGCCTAAGATCCCTCCCTTTTAGGGTTCTCCCGACGCCTTCGAGCACCGAACAAGCCAACATAGGGGACTGCGCTAAGCTCCTGGCCACAATCTCATGCGGCGGCAACATTTCCCCTTCTTCCTCCACGTCCAAGTCGCAATCGTTGTCGAATTCTCCGTTTCTCCTCATCGTTTTCGCCAGTATTGGCACGTTAACCGGTGCCGATTGATGAAACCTTCCTAGAGAAGAAGAGGAAGATGAAACGATTGGGATTCGTTCTTGCGGCGGTTTCGGAATCGAAGGGATTAAACGGGAAGATGAGGAGGAGGAGGATACTGATGTGGCAGAGGAGGAAGATGATGCTGACGTGGAAATTGAGGGTTTTTGGTAGAAATGGAAGTGCGGGCGGGAAGCGTCGCGGATGGCGGCAAGGATTCCAAAGTTTTCGGAGTGAGGGAAGGATTTATGGTTGCGGGGGCTGGAGGAAGGAGAAATTTGGTGGAGGGAATTTTGGAACCCGCCAGCGGAGTTGTAACCGTTAGAGTTGTCGGAGAAGTCGCCGGAGAAGAAGATGTCGTCTTCGTTGAGCTCTTCAGCGGCGGCGGAAGAAGAGGAAGGTTGGTCGAACGGAGGCGCGTGGGGTGAGAAGCCGAGGAATCGATCGGTTGATGGGGATTTGAGGTGGTGGAAGCGTGAAGGTCCATTGATCTCCATGGTAGACCTGGGTCGGGTCGGGTTGTTCATCGGTGATTGGTGACGGCTGCGTTTAAATGGAAAATAGACAGAATTTTCTTTATTTATTTTCCTTTTTGGGTGTGAAAGGAAAGGAAGAGTGACGTGGAAAAGGAAAAATAATAGGGGATATCAAAGGATAAGGATACGAGAGAAAGTCGGTCGCTTTTTTGGGAGGAACGGAACTGTAGTGTGGATTTCGATTTCGATTTGGAAATGCCAAACTTAGGTTAGCCTTTTTTTAATCCTTTCGATCTCATCTTTTGATTTCTGCAATAAAACGTCAAGACGACAAGATTTAAACAGCTCTTTAAAATATTAAATAAAAATAAAAAAACAAAGGTTTCTTTTAAAATAGCATTAAAATTATCTAAATAAAAATTGTAATAATCTTATAATCAAATCCAAATGTCTCATCATAATTTATAAAAATAGTTCAACTACTGGATAATAATTCTATTTCAAACCAAATTAAAAGATGACTGTTTTTAACTGGATACCTTAATTAAAATTTGAGGTTTTTAATTGAAATCTTTTAAATTAAATGATAAAGAATAAATTTTCTTTACATAGCTGATTATTATTGGATCTCCTTAAATATATGTTAAAAAAAAAGGTTTTTAGGTTGTCATATACCAAAGACCGAGGCATAGCTTGGTAGGGTGAAAATGCGAGGGGATGAAAGTCCGGGCGGTTGATTGGAAAATTTTGTACACAATGTTAATATGACAAGAATTAAGCAAGTTTAGGTTTAGGGAATTGTGTTTCATATTTTAATCGTATTAAGATAATTAAAGTATAAAAAATTTATTTTTTTAAATATTTTAAATATATTTAATTTATTTAAAAAATATATAATTAATCATGTTATAATGTATTCATATAATTTCTATCTCGTTTATTATCTACTTAATTAATAGTGTAAAAATGTTTAACTGACACATTTAAATACTCATATAAATACCTTTTTTCAGTTTGATAATAATGATAGTAGATTTTGTTATATTTGATGGATAATATTGTTTTATTATAATTACTTTTATGATTATTAGTTTTAATTTTGAATAATAAAAGTATATATTTTTTTTAATTATATACATTTTAATTTAATCGTGTTAATCGTTTAAATGGGTTATAGATTGAGGCGTATCATATAAAATTTTAATTTGATCCGTTTAATAAACATATTAGACTTGCTGTGTCGTGTTACAAGTTTAATAAACGTACACGTGTTTGTGTTTAGAATTCTATTTGTTTAATTAATCATATTATGCTCATGTTTACTTGTTTAATTGTTAATACTTTATATTCACATGATATAATTAAAGACACATGAACATGAATTGTCATGTTTTGTGGATGAGCGAAAAGGTGAAACGAAAATTATTTTGGTTAATATACTCATACAGTCCATGTACTCA